GCTCCTGGCATTACTACAAGTAGCAAGAAGCTACTAGGGGCCATCGCTAGTAGGTTGGAGGCAATTGTTATTAGGATCAAACGTAACGACATGTCCTCCTCCCAGACAGCTGGTGTTTTGGCCGTGATCCGCAAGGAGTGGAACTTTAAGGAGCCATCCTGGGGCAAGTCTGCCAACAAAATAACTACTTACAGCACTGTGCTTGAAGGAAATATGGCACAAACGTTCGCTAACACGTTTGCCATCATTGCAAATTCGCAAACATGTGGCATTCTGCCCACCTGCCCTGTGAAGAGGCCATTCACCAAACGATGTCTTTCCAAAGGCTTCAAACCCTCAAAGGCCTGTGGCAACGTACACAACTGCAGAAACTATGCCAACATATGCCAACTAAATGTGCAATCTAGGGGTTTGCAGATTTTGGCATGCTTGAAAACTGATACAAGATATACAAGTACAAAAAGAACAAACAATCATGTTCTGAATGAATCTGGCGTTTTTGTTGTGTCTGACCTCAGAAACTACCAGGACGTGGAAGTGAGACTCGTCAGATTTGCGGCCATGCGACTCATTCTTCACCTGGCAAAGGATCAAGGATTGATTGGGGATTTTAACTAACAAATCCCAGAACATCAAAGGAGATCTTCGGGAAATCTATCAATGGAGACTTAGGTTGGAGGCCATCGCAAGTAGGTTGGAGGCCATCGCTCTTAGGCACAAACACTGAAGGCTCGATTGATTGCAACGGTCTCACTTTGGATCGATTTCATATCCCTTCAGGCTGTCCTCAAGGTGTTGTGGCCTCAATTCTGAATGGAGTTTATCCTCAATATGTTTCTGCCTTGGTATTCGTGCGCTTCCATTCTCACAGAATGAAGGAAGCTAATCAACACAACAGTTCTCATCAAATCTCCTCAAGCCAGTTTTCGGTGACTCATCATGAAGTGCTTCCAAGCACATGATTTTCACAATTCTCTCTACAGGTCTGTCACTCTATGCCTGAATTGAAACAGTTTCCTTTCAAAGCCTCGCACACAGGCCCATAGAAGGCAAAGGCTCTTGAATGCCTGGGCATCTTCGCTAATGAAGTGGTGTCGTTTGGGCTCTGTGCATCCCTACTTCGATTTGGATGTGTCTCGACTGCCGAAACACAACACTGGCAAGTCTTTAGCCTTTGCTCCCGGTGGTACGCCGGCAAGTCCTTTTCGCCAGTGACATTGCGAGTCTGACGAAACCTAGCGTTTGTTTGGCAACGCTACGTGAACCCCAAGCAGAACAACACGAACCTGTCCACAATACTCAGCCTCTTGAACACGTCTGTGCTTAAACTCACTGCGGAACCCTGCAAAATTCACACGCTTGAATCTGAACACCCAGCGTATCACTATATGTGTCAATGAATTGTGATTAAAAACCGTCTCTTGACAATCTGGTCAAGAAGCAGCCCGTAACATCTGCGTTTGTTGAAACATATTGGCAACAGTTACTCAATTTGCAAATTCACAGGCTCTAATCGGCCCCTTTGTTACAAGTACAAATTTGCCAACTCTGATTGACCAAAAACGAATGGAAAAGTAGCAGTTTAGAGTTCACAGGCACCTGCGTTGTTTCGTGATGGGTTGAAAAAATATCCCGGCAAGAGACCCCGAACAGTGTGGGGTATAGTGCGAAAGAAGGGCAAATAAGCGAATGTCCGCACTCCACGGGACGCATACGAGAAGACACATGTGAACAAACACATGAGAGCACACATACGAGAACGCATAAAAGGGCGCACATGTAACACACAGACAGGTGAGAACACACATATGATAATACACATATGAGAGTACGCAAATCAGGGCACACATATAAGAGCACACATCTTACAATAAGAATCAATATGTGTGCACATCTTTGAAGATAACCAAGCAGGGACAAATCGTTTCATGGTCTGAGTTCTAGATATCTTTTTCTCCACGCTGCAAAATCACAGCGTGGGCTGCGCCTGCCACGAAATCTGCACATCGAAGCTGCCACAAAAAGTCGGCTTCAAACCAGAAAACGCGAGGGTTGCCTTGCGCCTGCCACGTGAGCACCAAGTGCAAAAGGCTCACGGCCACAACCAGAGCGCCGTCGAGGCAAGCACCCGCTCGGGAGAGGCAGTTTGTGTGAACTTGAGCAGTCGAAATGCACCTCGAAGATCTTGAGAGGCATGAATGTACCGTAAATAGTAACAAGAAGCTACTAGCAACAAGTGCCTTACTAGTAGTAACAAGAAGCTACTAGTAACAAGTGCCTTACTAGTAGTAACAAGAAGCTACTAGTAACAAGTGCCTTACTAGTAGTAACAAGAAGCTACTAGTAACAAGTGC